ATTTTACATATTTTATTTTGTATACAACCAAAATCTAAAATTAAGAGTTCTGGAGTTCACAGAAGCCATCTAACAAATCTGTTGGGACCTATGGGACACTTACCATCACCATGTTCCAGGGTTCATCTTCAACACAACAGTAGGTGTTTTATTTTTACTGTATTTTGCTAAAATTATTTACACACTGCATTCTAAAAATAATATTCTATAAGAATGTTATTTTACCTTATCGATAACTTTAAGTATAATAGAGATAAGAGGGGAGTCTCATAACGGAACATTTTGAAAAATGTCCTGTATCTGAAAAACTTAAAAGTATCCAGAACACATTACCGACGTTAAAAAATACGTTATTTGATGAAACAAATTCCAAATTAAAATATGGGTCGCGAGCAAAAGTCGTGCCTAAACTATAAAACCAAAACCAAATTTACCGCTCGGTAAATAAATGTTTTATTATCGTTTTATTAAGTTCCTTTATTCCGATGGAAAAAAATGTCTCGAGTTTATATGTGTCGATAAAGCCGTTCGGTTTATTTGGTTGCCTCGGCTCGCATAAAAACGACGCTGCAAATTTAATAAAGTTAAATGGTACACAAATTGTAATAATTTCGCCTTTTTACCGACATTGTTTTTATATTTGGTCCGTGACTTGTCCAAGTGTTGAGGGTCAAAAATGCGAAAATGCAACAAAAACGACAACTTAAAGATTATAACGTAAAGTTCAGTTAAATTGTAAATGATAGTTTCCCATAAATTCCGCATTTCAGTTTATAAGAGATTTGACAATTGTAAAGTAAAATTCTTTAACCCGTGGTATCGGGTGCAGAACTTTACCAAACGGAGTGCCTTTGGGCTGCTCAGATTGATAGCGGGAAGAGCGGGGTTCAGGTTATCTGTTTCCTTTTTTTTTTTTTTCTTTGTCGGGCGCCAGACCTTTTTTATACAACGGAACAAAATTGGAAGTTAGGAAAAGGACAAATCTAGCTTCCTACTGTTTCAAAAAAAAAAACAAAAAAATTTGGAGGCAAACAAGGTCTCAGAATCAGAAGATAATATAAAACAGTTAAAATTTAATTCTGCATGGATTCTACAACTTAATTAATTCCCACCCCTTCACAAGTACCCTGTTACTTGTCTGAGGTTTGACTGCTGATGCTTGACTGGCTGCAGATGTCACAGGACGGGGCAACTAGTTCCGTCAACCTGGTCGCTCGACTGGTTGGGTAACAAATTTCTAGGTTATGTCAGAGTAGAACGGCAGTTCCCCGAGATCCTGACACCAATGTTCCCAGCGTCCTTCGAACTATCGGTTCGGGATGATTTAACCTCAAATAAGACAAGGCAACAGCAGTAGCTTGTAACGGAGGAATTTAAGAGTACAAAATCATCAGTTTTCTAAATTTAAAGTAGACTGAAAGTCTAACGGCTAATGATTAAAAATAATTAACAACAATGATTATGGTGCTCAGGCACCCTAACAATGAAATGAAAATTACAACAGAACCTTAAAATTAATAAAATCATTACAAAAATTGCTTTTTTTAGCCCAAATACAAAAATTAAAACACTATTCGATGAAGCGTGTTAAGAATAGAATCTATCAAATTAATAAAAATAAATAAATAAACAAATGACTGAAATGGATAATTCAAAATTAAGTTGCCTTTGGAGGGGCGGTATTTATGATGGTGATATTCAAAATATAATTTCTTGTATTTTAGGTATCAAAACCAAAAACTGCAAAAATAATCAGTAAAAGAACATGAAGCTAATCGATTATTAAAACAATAGTAAAAATATAAATTTCAAATGTTATCGAAAGGAGGTATCTATTCAAACGAAGGAGTCTCAAACCACAGATATCGAGAGATACGTGCAGGTGTTTAAGCAGTGGTAACTTATGATTTCTTACAACAGAAAAGTTAAAAAAAAAACAACCACTCACCCGCAGGTATCCTCGCTGAGAGTACTGGCAAAAACCTCCTCCTTTGTTTGGTGTCTCTTCGACTGGATTTTAAATGGAAATAAATCCGGAATTCCTTCGAGTAAATTGCAACCTGACATAATGTTCTTTCTACACTAAAAGAAACCGGCAGTATCAGCGTTCAATTTACCACAAGCAAAGGAGAGAAAGAGAGGCCCCTAATCTAGATACCAAGAAAAAAAAACACGTGTTGCAGCATGAAGGCGTTACAACACACCAGATACGTATCACGATTGGTAGGTAAGCAAAAATATATCGTGCACAATAAAGGGAGAGAGAGGCCCCCAACCTCGACACTAGAAAGATACCGCGTGTTGCAGCAGGAAGGCAATACAACACACACAAGATATGTATCGCGATTGGTGGGTAAACAAAATAAAATATATAAATATATATAAATTCAAAATTTACACTTTTAACTGTCGATGGCTAACACATTTGAAAATAAAAAGAGATTATTATTTCACAAATAATCCAAAAATAACAATCAAAGAAAATGTGCCTTATGACATAACCTCTAAAATAAAAGAAATTTTTTGTCGCAAACTGAAAAATTGAACGTTTAAAGGAATTTTAACATTACCAAACCAAATTAAAAATATAAAATCAAATACATCACCATTATAAAATACCAAGACCACGATGTGCCCTCTTCCAATCGCCAAAAATCTCTTCCGTCTTAATTCGTACCCGTTCCAAAAAGAAAAGAGCACTGGTTCGACCTCGCATCCGTTTTATGTCCTTACCGTCAAAATAGGTTCAGTTCCGAGAGAACAATGTATCTCAGAATAGAGGTTGACCTACTTACTGTGTGTACGTCACTCACAAACACGTCACAAGCGGTACGGAACACGATAAATCTGATGTCTAATTGAAATCATATTGTAACGAAATTTATTTCGTTACACAATAGTGCCAAGGTAAAAGGCAAGAAGAGCAAAGCGGAAGAAGAAGCATTACCTAAAGTAGCAACCACCTTAGAAGCCTTCAAAGTAATTCTCCAGGACTGAGGTAATGGTCTGCCCGTTTCAGTGGTCTAGATTCCAAATTTGATCCTAGGCGATAGATAAAATCTCTGCTGAAAGCATCTACCAATAGTGGCTGTCGACCTCTTCGGTCCCTTAAGACATACCCTTTCACTACCCTCGAAGCTCTGGTGGCAAAAAAATCAATTTGAGGTGATCTTCTTTTTCCTGAAGAGGCTGCCGCTGTAATTATCCGTTCCTGAGAGAAGAAGATTTCGCCCCTTCTTGACTGCGCATAGACAAAACCACCGATCGACTGTCTGATTGGATTAGGAGGGACTTTGAAAGGAAGCTTTGACTGAAAGGTAAATGATACAAAGCTCTTTTGGATTTATATGCCATTTTTTATGACGACTGTCCTAGTGCCCCTCCACAAATCGGTTCCCCACCTGAACCCCTCATCGGTCGGCAGGCTTTTCTATACGGGAAACAACAGCTTGAGCTAAAGCTGGTGATACTATATCTTGGTGCCCAATAGAACCGCTGATTCTATATGCGATAACTTTTGGATTGACAACGACACCAATGCAAAAAGGCCAATCTAACAGCTTGACTTTGATCTCTCCATACTTCTTTTCGTAACGCGTCTAAACAGATTGATTAAAAGCTAGGGCAAAAACGAATCTTAGTTTATTTAAAAATTGGGGATCCATCTCGGATATACATAGTTCTTGGACAGCCAATCAACATTCCAGTGTTTCCATCCCGCCGGAAATGAGCTCATGCGAGCTCGTTTATTCTTTTGAGGATCAGATTATTATCCGAATCGCCAACCACCAAATTACTTAATAGAATGAAAAGAATTGGAAGAAACAAAAATAGAATGTCGAAAGTTTTAGTTGAAAAATCTAAAGTGTTGTTAATAACCTATAAAAGAAAATTAACTTTAAACACAATCTAAAGAAATAAGGGGACACGAAGTCTGGCGGCGGCAAGGAGTGGGGGAAACCAGGAGAGGCAGGTGAACTGAAGACGTGAGGGGCGGGGAAGATAAAAAGATATTGAAAGACACTTATACTTGGTCAGAAAATTATTGTTTTATTACTTTTGAAAAATAGAAAATATCAAAATAAAATAAACAAATAATACAAAATATTCCACAACGTATTTACTTTTTACTATACTATTTTACTAAGTTTAAAAGTGAATTTGATTAAAACGACACAGTTATTTGTATTTCCTATTAACTCCTATTATACGATCCTCAAATATATTCTTTTACTGCATTCTAAAAATATAAGACAAATAAATAAAAATAATAAATATATGGAAGTCTCTCTCTTTCCGTAGTTGTTATTACACCGGTTGTCAACTATATTCTCTTACTACGTTGTGAAGTAACTTTGATTAAAGCGCGACGTTATCTCTCAAATTTGCCATCAAGTTGACTTTAAATTATGTGGGAAATGTCCAAACTTACTGCGCTGCATTTTAAACTTACGGAAAGTTCCTGTCGAGAAAATATCGTAAACAGTGATCACGTTAATTTAAGAGTTTCCTAACGCAGTGACACAAACTTTCGCAGCGATGCCGTGATATTTTAATTAACTGCCTTTATTAATTGCAGTTCGAGAGGGTCTCGGCTTTGAAATTAATTTGGGGCAAATAATTTGAAACATTACAATTGCGAGAAGAAGAAATGTTATCGACGAAAAAATAAAAAAACAGTGTGTATATATATATATATATATATATATATATATATATATATATATATATATATATATATATATATATATATATATATATATATATATATATATATATATATATATATATTTAATTTTGCTAAGAAAAAAAAATCTTCAAAAGACGATACTAGCCTGGTGTTTAATTGGCTAGCCTTGTGTCGGATTCAGACACCACACAGAGTGTGGTGTTGCCGCCTACCTACTAAAAAAACCCACCCTATCTACCACGTAGGCACCTTTGTACCGGAAACCGCTTACGCATTACTTCGGTACAAGGGCCGGTCCCAGGTTCTCCACCTATGTACTACGGTTTGCCCTAATATCTCTCTCCTTGGTCTCGATAATTTTCCGAATCACTCTGTACGCCTCCCTCCACGTATTTTCTTCACCCATCAGGCTTGCCATCATGTTGCGCGGGTTGAAGTTGGTACCTGTTGTACATGAGTACATAGTTCTTTGTTCCTTCCACCTGTGGCTGTGAAACAGTGTGTGCTCCACGTCGTCCAACAGGCCGCAGTACTGACAGTCACTGGTCTGGGCGCGTCCTCGGTCGGACAGATATTTTCCAAAGCAACCATGCCCCGATAGAGCCTGCGTGAGAAAGTAGTCCACTTCCCCACGCGGGCGATTAATCCACTGTTGTATGTCCGGGATTAACTGGTGTGTCCATCGGCCATAGGTCCCCGTGTCCCATTTCTTTGGCCAGCTGGTTTGGAGGATATTTCGTGCTTCGTTTTTTGTTGCTCCTGAGTATCTTTGCCGCCGTTCCTCTATAAGTAGCGCTATCGGCGGGATCCCCGCTATTACGCCAATTCCCTACGTGGACACCGTTCTGTACGCGCTGCACACTCTCAGTGATAGCTTTCTTTGTAGTGTTGATAACACAGCTATTAGTCTCTTATTCTCGGTAATCTTGCTCCAGACTGGGGCCCCATACAGTATCTGAGAGTGTACCACGCTCGCTAGAAGTCTCCGTTTGGATGATCTTGGTCCACCTATGTTTGGCATTAGACACAACAGCGCAGAAGTCGTTTTTTCTGCCTTTTGCACAGTTCGCTTTACGTGCTCAGCGAAGCTTAGCTTTCTGTCAAGCCACACTCCCAGGTATTTGACAGCGTCACTCAAGCCAATCTCACTCCCCATAACATTGAAAACAACGTGGCCTATCTTCCGTTTTTTGGTTAGCAACACTGCTTTGGTTTTCTCCGGCGCTAGGGCCAACCGTCTCTGCTCGAGCCATCGCGTAACTCTCTGTAGCGCCGTGTTTGCGTTGCACATCAGGAGCTCCTCGTTCTTTGCTACCACAATCATGCCGATGTCGTCGGCAAACCCTATTAGTGTCACTCCGTTTGGCATCTCCAACGCAAAAAGCCCATCATAGAGCTCGTTCCACAGTGTGGGTCCAAGGACCGAGCCCTGTGGTACTCCGCTTGTTAAGCCGATCCCGTTTGCCTGTCCCTGTGCCTCCAGTAGGATCTCCCTGTCAGAGAGGTGTGACGCTATTAAGTTTATTAAGCCTTCGTCCATTTGGCGCTTTCTTAATTCCTCCAGGATTAATTGCCACGAGGCACTATTAAAGGCATTTCGGACATCAAGAGTTATTATAACCGCCAGTCTACGATTTTCATGCGCGAAATTTGAAGCCTTGTTGGAGATTTCAATAACCCTTGCTATGGCATCAACTGTTTGTCTACCGCTCCTGAAGCCATACTGCCTAGCCGACAGACCACCAGTACGCTCAATTTCCCTGTGCAGGCGTGCAATCACTAGTTGCTCGTAAAGTTTTCCCTCTGCATCCAGCAGGCAGATTGGTCTATAGGACGATGGGTTCTCCAGCGTGTGGTCGCCTTTCCTCAGCAGGATCATCCTAGCTGCCTTCCACTCCGCTGGAAAGCAGCTTTTTTCTGCTAGCTTATTATAGGTGGCTAAAACATATTCAGGCTTTGTCGCCACCAACTCCTTAAGGATTTCGGCCGGGACCCCTCCAGGGCCTGCCGCCTTCTTGTTCTTAAGTTTCGCAGCAGCGTTGCTTAGTTCATCCACGGTGAATACTACAGGCTTCGCACCATCGTCGCGAGCAAATGATACCGCGTCATGACACGGAAATAGATGTCGTACGATCTTCTCTGTTGCTTCCATGCTTAGGTTAGGTCGTGGCGGAAATCCAAAAAGGCTCTTCATCGCGATTTTGTAACCATCGCCCCAGATGTCACGATCAACGTCGTCAAGGAGCCGCGTCCAGCACTCTTTCTTTGCCTTCTTGATTTTGTCTCTGAGCGCTATCTTGCTTTCTCTGTATTCCTCCCATGTTCTTGGTGTATCTCGAATAATGCCATGTTTGACAGTTCTTGTGTATTTCCATCGCTTATTTATACAGTCTCTACGAAGTTCCGCTATTTCGCTGTTCCACCAGTACGCAGGCTGTTTGTTCCTGAAACTCCTTTTCTTTGGCATTGAGATGTCACACAGCGTTGCCAACTCTTCTGAGAAATCTCTTGCCGATGGTCCGTCTTCGCCAAGCGACCCGATTGCATTGTGAAGCTTATTTCTGTCAAGTTTTTTGACTTGCCAGCCTCTGCATTCTCTTTACCGTACCACTGTCGGGTCACTATTTTTTACTTCAAAAGTTATGTAGTTGTGATCACTTAACGTTTCTGTTTCAACTACTCTCCATTGTCCGATTTTCATCCTGATGCCTTCAGTCACTATGGTGAGATCAAGAATCGAACCGTAGCCTTGGCTTTGAAACGTTGGCGAGTTTCCCTGGTTTACAGTGATTAAGCCGTTGGCGGCCATCCACTCTGTGACCATTTCGCCCCTCGCGTCAGTATGCGTCATACCCCACTCCGTAGATTTGGCATTAAAGTCCCCAGCAATGATAGCCTTTTCGTTGTTGCCTTGCACCATCCTGCCGATTTCAAATAGGGCCTCGTCCAGTTGATCAATCTCGTCGTTGCCGGAGAAATAACAACTATAAATGGTAAAGTCTACCGTTTCTATAAAGCAATATCCGGAACCGCTACCCTGCCTTTAAATTGCTATGTTATTTCCAATGAATTTTATGGCAGCTTTGCACTCGTTATCCTTAATCCAGTCCTTTCTATTCTGAATGGCGATTCTGTTGGGTTCGCTTACTATCAACACTTCTGCTTGCATGTCTATCGCGGTTGCCAGCGCCAGATCTTGGGCTGCGCGACTTTTGTTGGTATTTATTTGGAGGAATCTGATGATTGTGTGGGTGCGGTTGCGTTCTTTGGCGCTACCGCCGCCTGCACTTTTGATGGGCATCTAGGGGAGCCGGTTTGATGGCCCTCTGCTTTACATTGGAGGCAGAATGGTTTATTCGAGCATGTATCTGCTTTGTGGCCCTCGTGCCCACATTTCCGACATAATTTTTCTCTATCTGGCCCTTTACATTGCGACTTGACATGCCCTAATCCCCAGCATCTGAAGCATCGGTCTTCTCTCTGCCTTTCGTAAATTCGGCAACTAGTCCAGCCGATTTTTATCGTCTTAAGATTGATAAGTTTTTCTGCTTTCGCCTCGCTTACAATTGCCTGCCTCCGTAAGCTGGTCTGAGAGCTCTTACGTCTACATTACTGGGGTTGGTGCCCGTTGCCTTAGAAACAGCCTCTTTGATCTCGTCAGTTGTAGTAACTTCGTCCATGTCTTTAACGTGGACAACTTTTTTGCTTTTTAGCAAATGTGCAGTGGCTCCGGGTACCTTTTCACCAATTTCCCTTTTTAGCAGTTCAGCTCGATCGGATCCATTACTGACGGTAAGTAAGACTTGGCCGTTTCTTGTTTTTCTAAGTTGTCCAATGTCGACGCCTATGGCGCTAGGATCTACAGCAGTTTTAACGGCCTTAAGGAGGTCCGCAAAGCTCGTGTCTTTCATTTCTATCAGCAGCGCATCTTCCTTGGGTTTCCTCGGATTCGTCTCTTTGTTGCGTTTTATATGCTGGCTTGGCTGGTACTGTTCTCGTCGAATTTTTGCAATACGTACTGGCGTATCGCAGAATAAGAACTGCAGCATTCGTGTCATTATGGTTCCGGTGATCTCATCGTTATCGAGAATCGCTATATTAGTTCTATCCTGTTTTATGACTTGGATTTTGATCCTGCGTAGAGCCTCGAACATCTCTGAGTCGCCCACTTCTGACTGAGTGGATTTTTCGCTCAAGATAGGGTAGAATATCCACCTAGTGGACTGCACTAATTTTCCACTAACGTCAGGAAAGCCCACGGAGTGCACCATGATGGCAACTTCACCTTCTCTCTTGTTTTGAGCCGTAAGACCATGTTTGGCCCCAAATTTGTCTATTGTTCTATTGATCTCTTTATTGCGCGACTCCAATTTAGTATTACACGGCAGAATTAGGTCCCACTCCGTTGCGGTGTCTTGCGCTGGTCCCTCGATACTTTCCAAATCGTGAAATACGTTTTCTTCCCAGTCCTCTTCACTGATGGACTGGTAGATATATATATATATATATATATATATATATATATATATATATATATATATATATATATATATATATATATATATATATATATATATATATGTACGTCATCAGACAGGCCATAAAATTGATTTCGGCACTTGCACACAAATAGCTAATATTCCTGATTTTAGGACGAGAGGCCATCGAAATAAAAAAGTCCGGACACCTCAATACGAGAGACGACGCTCTGCATTTATCCAACACGTGGAGAACGATAATCAAACAGTAGAGCGATGCGCAGCAGCCAACGGGGACATCGCAACTACGATCGGGCGAAATTAACAACGCGACAATTCGGGGGGCGGAGCCACCTCCCCCACGCACAAGCAGCACCGTTACCATCTCCGGCGCAGAGTATAAATACCGCACGCCTTTGTGGATAGACAAATATCAATTTAATAAATACAGGAGAAATGTATACATAAATAAATGATTTATTTAAAGGTTATTTATATTATAATTATAATTATTATAAAAATTCTTAACCTAAACAACTCCCTAAGGGAGTCGTATTATATTAGCTTTCCGAAAGAAGAAATTTAATGACTCTTACTAACCCCTAAAAAAAATGCCCTTCTGGGTAGACAAATATCAGCATAATAAATAAAGCAGAAATTTATATTAAATAAATAAGTTGTTTAAATGAAATAAAACAGGATACAAACGAATACAGTCCTAATGACGCTTGTTCTGGGTAGACAAATATTAGCGTAATAAATACAGCAGAAACTTAAATAAATGCTATGTTTAAAGCTTTAATTTTTTAACACGAACATAAAATAGTTACGCGGAATAACATAAATATGTAAATAAATACATAAATAAATATATACAATTATTACAAAAATTCTTAAATAGCAGAAATTTTTACTAAGTAAATGATATGTATAAAGGTTTCACTTAATATAAAATTATAAAGATTTTCAACCCAAATAACAATGCCTTGAAGAAGTCGTACTGTATTAGCTTGCCAAAAAATGGCTCGTATTAACCCAAAAAAAAAAAAGCCATAAATAAATGATTTGTTTAAAGGTTTAATTTTTTAGCATGAATATAATAGAATTACGCGGAATATCATACATATATAAATAAATACATAAATAAATAAATACAATTATCATAAAAATTCTTAACCCAAGAAAAAACATGCCCTAAAGGAGTCGTACTATATTAGCTTGCCGAAAGAAATAGCTGCCTCGTATGTGGTTGATCGGTCAGTGATTTTCCCGCTGCCCTTTGTACTATGACAAATTTCGATAGCCTCAAGCTACTGTGTACTCTGGTCCGGGTATAAGATGACGTTTGTCTTCCGCCTATCGTCAACGTAAAAATACTATATCTACGAAACCGTATCGGTATACATCCTAGCCAAATTTTGTTATAATACAACTGATTACAGTGAAAATCGTACAAAAATGTTTTTGAAGTTTCTAATATGCCAAAACCGGCTTACAATAATTATTTTTACTTTCAATTAACTCACAAACTTCTCTCATTTTGAGGAACATTTTTTCACTAAACTCGCTGATTTGAGGCGTGTTAACAAAATGGTTGCACACTATGGTGCTTTGAGGTATCACATCCTAAAAGAACAATTCAGCAAAAAAACACAAAACTTAAAGGATCTATACCATTTTCCGAAAAACTCAAAAACCAAATGAGTTAGTTAAATGAGTTTAACCGGAGACACAAAACCACTAATAATGAAGCTGTGAAAAAAACTACAGAATTATGAAAAACGTAGTAAACAGACAGGTCGCCGATGAAAAAAAGGCTTTCTTCTCGAACTTAATAAGTCTTTCTAACGACAAAAATAAAAAAACATGGGAACTTGTCAACGAGAAGCTGGGTAAGGAAAAAACTCAACGCTGTATACGAATAAATGTTAATAATGTCAATGTAATTAATGATAACATAATAGCGAATGAATTCGGACAATTTTTTGCCACTCACGTGCAGTCGAAGATGGATACTATGTTCACTAAAGATGAAAGTGGCACTCTTCCAACCACCAAGGCAAAGAGTATGTTTTTCATGCCATACACCGATAGAGAGGTACTAACCTTAATTCAATCACCCAAAAACAAGCGATCTGTTGGAATCGATGAAATACCTATACAACTCATAAAAACCTGTGGAGATGTTCTAGCTCCATATTTAACTACTATTATCAATACCTCCGTTCTCTGCGGGCAGTTCCCTGCGGCATTGAAAAAAGCAAAAATGATTCCTGTATTCAAAAAGGGAGACTCTGAGCTAATATAGAATTATAGGCCTATAACAATAGCAGGTTGGTTCTCTAAAGTACTCGAAAAGGCCATGTACGACAGAATGACACATTTTTTGGAGCAAGAAAACATTATATCGAATGTGCAACATGGTTTCCGTGTTGGTTACTCGACGGAAACGGGGATTAATGACCTTGTCCAGTATATCTACGACAAACTCGACATGGGTGAGACAGTTGTCGGAGTGTTTTTTGATCTATCGCGCGCCTTCGATTCCTTAGATCTGAATATCATGGCAAAAAAACTAGAATGCCTGGGGTTTCGAGGTAATATCAATAGTTGGATAACATCATATATGAAACACAGGGAAATAAGCGTCAAAATGAATGGAATATACACGGAACCGTTCAACGTCAACTTAGGCACGCCCCAGGGAGGAATCTTAGGTCCACTACTTTTTCTTCTGTATGTGAATGACCTTCCTGAGTTCCTCAATAACAACTGCCATGTTTTTATGTACGCGGATGACACATCCATTTTCGTCTCCGGAAGGCAAGCTTATGAGCTGATCAATAGGTTTTCTTGTGTTGTGGCACAGTTTGTTGATTTTTGCAAACAGAACAATTTGATCAAAAATTTGGAAAAAACAGTTGCGATCGAATTCACTGGTCAGTATGTTAAACCTCTGACTAACCTAGCGTTCAGCTTTGCGGGTTCACGCGTGGAATTAAACCATACATCAAAGTTTCTCGGATCTTACATCATTGCCTTCCTAAAGTGGGACTAAACAACTGAACAAAACGCTTTTCGCAATGTTAACAATCAGAGATTCTTTCTTTGAAAGATCCTTGTTGACTTTCTATTACGTCTCAGCATACTCGTCTATTTCATATAATATCGTAAACTGCTGACAAGCGAGTGATGCGGAGAGGGTGTTCATTCAGCAAAAAAGGATACTTAGGTAAATTTTCAGACTGCCCCCGAGGCTATCCTGGAAATATATATTTATAAGGTATAAAATACTAAGAGTGCCTTGCGTATATTTATTTAAATTGTTCATCATCGTTCATAAAAATAAAGGCTCTCACAAGAAACACACGGATGTCCACGGTTATAACACCCGAAACAGAGAACACCTTCTAAAGCCAAGACTGAACCACATGTTCTACAAAAAGTCGCTAAATTACGCAGGACCTTATTACTATAATTTGCTTCCTGCAAGCATAAAAGTTTCTGTCAACCAATGCTTTCTACGACCTGAAAGAATTTGAAACATACATTACAGGAGTGCCCTGATGAGTTTAGTGATATTTTCTTTACATTTTGTCAATATGTTTGTACTATTTGTATATCCGTTTGTAACTATTCTATACTGTACTGTTAAATGTGTGTTATCATATTGTTTATATACATAATTCCATGTATCTCAATACTACTTTATAATGTACTCGTTTCCTGACGAAACATCCACTGTATACATACTGGGCTTTGTGAATAAAACTATCTATCTATCTATCTATCTATTGATTAAATATTGACCTCTCGGTATAAATCAATAACGTTAAGAAATTTAAGAAAGAAATTTTTTAACAACTCATCACAATGCTCTTTTTCGTTCCAGTACATCACCTCGATGTCGAAATTTAGAAAATCCGAAAATTCTTCTAGTTGAAAATCCATGTATTTATGCCTGCTAGTAAAAAGAACGCTAGCTATTTTTGCTGAATTTAGTACAGGTTCCCAGTCACAGTCCATTTCTGAGTTTTGGAATATATGCGAACAATTTATACAGATCCGTTCCTACTTGCGAAGATGGGCAGAGCACTGACTTTTTGGCAACTTGTATAGGCACTTTGATAATAAAAGGAAACAAGTGCCGGTCACTAGATACAATATCTTTTGGAAGTCTGACCCTAAAATTGTCCTCCTTATCGTTGAGCGAGGTGCTATTGTAATTATTGGAAGCAATCGTTTGCCATTGATTGATAAGGTATTCCGCGGGAAGGTCATCGATGTTGCTTATCGGGCAAATTCATCACTTAACAGATGAGAATTAATTTTGATTTGTTCGTATTGCTGCGTTATTATGTTTTATAGGTTGGCAGTCGAAATAAAATTGCAAATTTTGAAAGCACATCTTTTTATTGTTAGTTTCATTAGGGAATTTTAGCATATAACCAATTGAATTATAATACAGTTTCGTAAGGCGCACATGCGCACAACTGTCGTGGAATTTTTCAATATTAACGATCAATGACCGGGGTAGTTATAGTTATTGGATCATCGATGTCAAAAAAATCTGTTTTCGCTTGCCGTCTTAGTTCAGCAATGTCAACCAACTGCGTAATCAATGCGTCGATAAGATTATATTCTCTATAAGACCCGTACTAATCAGTAGTGAAAACGATCAAGGGAACGTACGTTTCGCTTATCAGCTTGAGTAAACGTAAAAAATCTCTCGGCGGCTTCATTATGTAGTGGGCTATTTGATTTCCTTCGTAAATTGCAATTTCTTTAGCGATGAATCCTTGAGCGTCCTTTAGGTCCTGTATATCTAACGTTACTGCCAAAAGTGTCATCGCCCTATATTTATGGCTTTTTGAACATATTGCTGATTAAATTTGTCCAAAACATTTCTTAGGAAATGCAACAAGCTATTTTTAAATTTTGCTTATCGTATTGTGGTGGAATTTATGCCAACCACTTGCTAGTTCGAAATAAATATTCCTGCTAAAAGATGCGAAACTATTTACCTTCCCGTATCTGTTTCGGACCTGTGGTAACCTGTTCCGTAGCTGTTGTTGACCTTTTTAATCATGATATAGACCTGTTCGAGAGCTGTTGTGTAGCTGTTTTGGACCTGATTGGCTCTGATCTGGACATATTCAGAGCTCTTTCGTAGATGTTTTAGACCTAATTTAGATCTGATCAGGAGCGTCGTCGCTAACATTAATTTACTTAAAATAAAATGCCAGAAAATATTTTATTGCGACTTTATACAATATGTCCTGGAGCCAAATTTTTAAAATAGCCGATTCTTGCTTTACATTTTTCAGCACGTATATGCAGTACTTGGAGATAGGTCTTTATGAGTGCGATCTGAGCTTCGAGCTGCCGGATACTATTATCCGAAAGGACGACTAGTTCCATGTCTGTCTCGGACGCTTACAAAATCAAAACTAAATTTATTGTTATAGGATATCATCGATATCGACCCACGAATCATGTGGCATTTTATTGCCTTTTTTGCGCAATACCTTTTCTACCAAGTAAATATCTGGACTAACCAAAACTACCCATAACCGCATGTCTTCCAGTAAATAAGTTACGGGGTTAGTCGCTTGGACTTTTATGTAACTTGGATGACCATTATTCGTACAACGTCACCAAGATTAAGTTTAGGTGGTCCTACAATTTTCAAGTGATTTCAACAAACTAGACGTGTTATTTTCGCTAATATATTTAGGTTTCATTCCGATCGTCCTGGGCAAGCCACTGTTATATTGCTCTTTCACAGAGGATAAAACATCGATCCATTTGTTTTTAGTGAATTGTTCATTATACGCTGGCTTTTGTAAACTTAGTAAAAAAATTTATGTTCAACATACATCGAAGTCTGGGCAAAATTTTAACGAATTTATCAGATTTATATAAAAAAATAAATATTTTGAAAAAAGACAATAGCAAAATAAATACGAATATTATACTTGATACATTCCTAAAATTTCAAAATATTTTTGCTAGACGCCGAAAAAGTGCAGTTTTGAAAAAAATGCATTAATAAATAAAACCTATATCTTACAGTTTTTTAAGAAACATACTGTTTATTGTGATACAGCACAAATTTACGTGTTGAACTCGCTTATCAAGATTACACGGGGTTGGATATGGCGGGCTTTTATTTAACTCGCCCTGCAGAAATGTATTGTCAGGTGTCAATCAATTGAAGTTTCTCGACGAAAAAAATTACAAGGAATGTGTCTGGAGTTTGAGTGACGTTTGCAGTCTTGAAATTATGCAAAATGATCCATTTCCTTATGCTAAAATTCTTAACTTTTAACTTATTCGTAATACATGGTTAGTGAAAATGAAATATTTGCCTCCTATTAATTTATTATTTTTCAAACTCGCGTCCCTAAAGCTGCTACGTATAAGAATATTGCGACTTGACATTCTACTAAATGCGTCATTTATAGTAGCGAATGCTATTTCTACATATTGTGATTTTGTTTTTAATTGTGTCGTGCATCCCCTTTTTTTAATTCAGCAAGTCAATAGTAAAAGCGACATTGATTTTCTTACCTAGCTGGGATTCTGGTTTAAGTTATAGTGCTATAACGGTCGGAGTCATACCTAGCACGAATCTATACTTATTATAATGCTTCCTTAGGTTTCAAACTATTATAGGGTCCACCAACGCGAACAACGGTTTTCGAGTATTTTGTTTGTCCCATTCTTCGCAATATAATGGTATCTGGACCAGATTTGGAACCGATAGCTTCATGAGAATAGTTTCGCAAGCTCATCTAACTCTCAATAGCGCTCTCAATACTTTTTTGAAATTACTAATGGGTAGAACTGCGAAAACACAAAGTCCGTCTCCATTGGGACTATAAAGGCACATATTTGATGCACCTTTGCACAGGTAACATTTAAGAATGAAAGGAAAAAAGGAAAATCCCTTTCATAATTCTTTGTGAATTCGTAAGTTGTTGTCGAATGTTTCTCAGTAAATAAACCTTGGAACATCGATGTTGTTGATTTTACAGATTGTAGCATTTTGGATTCCTTAACGAATAACATACCAAGAGCGGGAAACAAGCACATTTTCAGAAGCATGAATTTTGTGTTTGAAAAATTTGAGATGCTTCATGGAAGTGATGCTATTTTGTAAGACAAAAAGTCCTAATTCACGTTTGGGAATCCTGAAAGAGAATGTCCTACCATATTGATTGAGAAGCAGAGAATAGAGCAGCTGTAATCAAAATATAAGGTTTATTATAGTTTTTATAGTTAAAATCCTCCTGCACACACTCTGTATGTTGTTAGATATAAGGATTTTAATGTCACAAGGTCATCCATCTTCAATGAACGAGGTAAGATGATGACTTCAACCGAGAATAGTGCGTTTGCTAAATACTATGTTATTAATTACGACCTGTGCAGGGAAAAAGATTCGCATAACAACATTATGGGCACACTTTTTTTGAGTCGAACTCAGTTGCATAGTCAGATATTTTCTGTAATTCTCTGTTACCTCACAAATCAATACTGTGGTCTATTAAAAATGCTTGAGTTCAATATTGTACGATTGGTCAATACTCGTATATCGCAAAAAATAGCAGATGTATAAGGTATTTTTAATTAAAGTACAAGTAGGGCGTTCATGTAGCTGTCAAAGTCAAACAAATTTTCTATAATCTTGGCGGCAGTAACATTGACATATGGGACTTTTCTTTGAGAATCATTCCAATAAGTTCCTTCGCAGCGTATTGCTTGACGAATCATACGTTTATCAATTTTATCCTATTTAGTGTTCGCCAAGTGATAAGATTTAGACCTCAGGGTTTCCTAATCAGAAATTATAAACTCCATAAACTAACAACTACATCTCATCATAAAATAAAAGTCTACTTCGGTCACAAAGTATTTAAGTTAAGCACAAGGAGCCTTCTAAAATCTGCTTTTGTCAATAAAATATCTCACGCCATATTGCATCATTTCTCGAGGTGGCTACCAGTCGGCTAAATAAAAAGTCAAACTTAACAAACTTACTAATTTACTCGAGCTTCATGATTCTGCAATTAATTTTCGACTTGATTGCTCGAAAATAACGACACACCGACGACAATTCGAGTGTGTCCGCGTCAGGCTTTGTCACGTGGAATAATGGACTCGAACAGGAAAGCAACAGGATTGAACAGATTCCAATTTAATCCCGTCGATAGAAAGAAGTGCTCAAACCAGAATCAACTGGTTTTTTTAAAAATTATCTACGCAGCAGCTAACCGGTTAGCCTTCATCAAGAACTGCCTTTAAATGGGTAAAACAATTATCTTTGCCCCTTTCCCGTACAAATTATAGATTAAAAAGGAATTCCTTTCATTTGGGAAATATGAAAAGCTCAACTATCTTGTATATACAGTGAATGGTTAAAATATGTAACAAATTCATTTAAAAATCAGAATTGGATTTTAAGAAAAATTTTCGCACACGTCCAAGATATATTTTTCTTGAGCATTTTTTTACAGTAAATAGAAAATGTACAGGATGGGTCAAAAAATAGATGTCGACATCAATTTCCTTTTTTTTAAAGAAACACCATTTTTTTAAATCCATTTTCGAATTCTGCGTCAAATTCCAAGCATAATTCATAATAATCCCATAACCCTAACTTATTTGGTATCTAATTCACGCACTTTCCGAACAAAATGAAGCGGAGCTACATCCTGTTGAAACCAAATCTGTCTATCTGGCATATCTGATTTGCATTTGGGAAATTGATGATACTTTTATTCTTTTAATACACGTAAAGTTGTGTATTGACGAGCATCATTAGTTGAACTACTTCAGAAGATATACTATGGGGATTATCCTCAACTTCTAATAAAATGTTTAATCTAGTGTTCTCATTATTTTTTGGACGACCTGGCCGTAAAAAATCTTTAACATGCCCTATTTCTAAAAATTTACTCACTGTGGATCTTGCAATGCGTCTTTCTCGATATTTTGCGTTAAATAAATTACAAACTTCTTCTTGAGTTCACGTTTTGTCTCCATGTCCAATAAATATTAAAATTCAAATTTTTTGGATTTAATTTTATTCACTTTCTTTACTGACAGAAAAGTAATTGCCATAATTAAAGAACTTTGGTGGTAGTAGCTACTTACATGTGCATTTAAAAATTAAATTTGTATTTTTTATTCTTTTGCTCATAAAAAATTAGTGATACACCCTGTATATTTTCTGTTTACTGCAAAAAATGTGCAAGAACAAACTGAGTTGACTGTAAGTACTGCCGAACCATCAACAACCCCAGCTGCCTTAATTAATTCAGTTTAGAGGTGTTTTCCGGAGTTTCGGCAGTTTCCCCAACATTTATAACGAGTTTATACAGTGTGGCCACAGATAAACACGTCCGTCTAGCCTTAGGAGACTCCATATCAGTTTGGAGTAAAAAAAAACTCATAACTTAAAGTGAAAATATTGTAAGCATTTACGCTGACATTCTTCAAACTAGAAGTATAATTTTCGTAGATAGGTGATCATATTTTAAATGAACATGCTAGTTTACTCCTTATAAATGTTGGGTAAACAAGTTTAAGGATTTTACGGACCTAACCAGTTTCTAACAGATAATTGGAATGACCTTGCCATTATCAATAAAAGTTAGTACCAGACACAATATTGGGATCTCTGAACGTATCAAACCTCTCGAAGAGCGCACCGGTGAGTACATGCCGAACAACCTGGGAGTATTGTTCCAATAAAAAGACAGAACTTTGCATTTGCCAAACATTAAGTTTCAGAAAGTACACGGAACACCACTAATGCCCAGAAAGATCTTAACGTTATTCACAAACAACCAGGCACGCTTAAAGTAATATATTAATTGTTAATGAAAATCAAAAAAACGAAAAGAAAAAAAGAAAAGAAAAAGACTCAACCCTCAAGTCAACCCTTGAGGTACTTCTGCGGTAGCAACCAAAACTTTAGACTTATAGACTCTTTAATGATGTTATACTTTTTCTTTCTTCCCATGTCAAGGAAATCTCAAGTATCGACTAAGAATTCCACCCGTACCGCTATTCAATTTTATTGTCTTTGGGGTAATGAAACTATCTTTTAGCAGTTCAATTTGAAGGAGCTATAGTGCTTCCACAAATAATGGTTTTGGCTCATTGAATTCGATAGATCTATCTCTTGTAAATGTAAATGTAAATTTTAGAAGTTAATTTTTCTAAAAGACACTGCTAATCAATAAAAATATTAATATAAATATAATATTAGATTCTCTAAATTTGACACTAGAAAGTGAGTTTTACTGAACAAGTGACTGAAATTGTTTCTTTTGGTTTAAATTTAAGTATGCGTCTGTTGTACTTTACGCTCTTTGGAAAATATTTTGTAGATATTCACACAATTGTATAACACAACGGAAATAATTTCAGAAATATTAATTAATATGGAATCAAATCTTCTCATTTTAATTGAAAAATACCTTTTTGGAACATAATATATATATATATATATATATATATATATATATATATATATATATATATATATATATATATATATAACGGTAACGGTGCTGCTTGTGCGCGGGGGAGGTGGCTCCGCCCCCCGAATTGTCGCGTTGTTAATTTCGCCCGATCGTAGTTGCGATGTCCCCGTTGGCTGCTGCGCATCGCTCTGCTGTTTAATTATCGTTCTCCGCAGCAGCCAACGGGGACATCGCAACTACGATCGGGCGAAATTAACAACGCGACAATTCGGGGGGCGGAGCCACCTCCCCCGACGCACAAGCAGCACCGTTACCATCTCCGGCGCAGAGTATAAATACCGCACGCACCGCCGATAACCTCCCAGTGTTCGAAGTGTTTTCGGAGCGCGAGCATTGAAGATGCCAAGTGAGATTTTGGCGAAACGTCTGCAGGATTCCAATCGGATGCAGGATTCCAGTCGGAGTTCAACGAGCGAACGGATGATATCCCGGAATATAGTGTCATCACATTTTTCCATCCGTGAATCAATACGTGATATATATATATATATATATATATATATATATATATATATATATGGTTTTGTCTTTCTTCATTCCGGTATATAAAGGGTTATTAAAGGTCACAACAAATAATTACTATATAAAAGTGCGAGGTTCAGTACAATTAAATCCGAAGAATGAGATGTCTTACACCTAATTAGTGGGTAAAAAAGCGGTAAAAATGATCAGTTTTTTTTTTTCGGCTTAGAACGAGATGAAACCTCACCCAAATCGTTAGTAGGGAACTTCAAAAAAATTACTTTTTATTATTCACCCTTAAAAAACTCCGAAATTATTCAACATATCTGAATAATTTTTTGTTTCACTCGAAGACCATACATAATTGATGATAACTGATAAATTTTTATTTTCCATTTTTTTCAAAAATTGGATTTTTTTGTATTGAAATTTTCATTAAGCGAGAAACTTTATTTGGAAAATTTTCATACTATATGCTGAGAAAGAAATGTGGTAAAATATATGAGGAAGTTTAAAAAAAAAAAAACGCAGAATCTTATGTGGCAGCTTCGAAAGCGCACGGTTAATATAAACAGTCCGACGATATTATTTCTCTCAAAATCCAGGAGCATTACTTCGATAGATTGGAACAAAATAATGAGAAAATGGATTTATATCCAAATGTATATTCTTAAATTATTGATGATATGGTAACTCATTCAGGAATTGAAACCCACTTCTTCTATGACATTCAACGACTTAGGACAAATGTTTTCGAAAAAAGTATCGGTGACAAACCCAATGCCAGAAGATTTGCAGTTGTTTTTGATAATTACATCTCCCAGTCATTGAAATATACCAAGAGACTAAGACGTGGTAAATTATTTAACATAACTGAATATAAAGTTTCTGGCTCCCGAAAGGTTCCATTTTTTAATGACTTTCTCCGCCAATAATCCTTATTAATTGTTATGGTGGACAATGTTTTGAGGAATGCAGCAATTGTCAGATAAAGTCAAATCATTGATAATAAGAGGAGGATCTAAAAATCCTGAAAACACCTGTATCACAACCAATGTTTATATTTTACTTCTGGATCATTACTTTGTTACGGAGCAAATACACGTTTGCAGACTATTTATCGAATTGGGGCATTATCAGTTTAGAAGATAGTTGGAAGTTTGAGAGAAATAGAAAAAAATATATTTTGGCGATACATTGTCTCACGGGATATGACAGTGCATTTTTTCAAAATTGGCAAGAAGAAGACAGCCTTTCATGTTCTAGACACAGATGGACAGTAAAACAGTGGACCTGTGCAAGAACAACTATATTTTATCCTTAAAAATGGTCTGCGGATTCAGTTAACAACAAATTCACAGACCTGCGATGGAAACTGTCACTAGCTTATAATGCACTTGCACAACACTTAAAAAGCATACAATTTATTATGAAACGTGGGAATATGTTAGTTCAATACTATAATGTTTTTTTTAATTATTATTTCAGTCGCGTACCCTATACAAATTTTGATGACCCAAATAAATAAGGATGGACAAATGAGAACAATACCTGGACACCAATATTTTCGACACAACATCCTGTACCACATAAAATCAACAGCATTCGGGTTTTGCGATGTTCTGATGCAACCTGCAACAGCAATAAAAGTAAATGTGTAGCGCAAGGCTTAAAGTGCTGTGAAGAATGTAATTGCAAATTCTGTAACAATCAAGATATAATAGGCCAAGCGGAATCATTGGATGAAGATTTGTAAATGATTTTGAAAAAATATATATATTTTGATTACTCAAAAATTCAGAAATAAAAATGTTCATTAGTTCATTGAAATTATGTGTATACTTTCTTGATTTTCCTAATCATCGAATTATTTTTTGCTTGAATGGTTGAGCGTGAACGTATGGTGCGGTTCAAAAAATCATATTTCGAATACTATTGCAGATAAAAGGCTGCGTTTTTTATTTTACTTCATTTCATTCGCAGTATATAGCACGAAAAATGTCCAAATAAAAAAAATTCTCGCTTACTGACAATTTCAATACAAATTTTCATATTTGAAGGTCATGAAAAAAATGGAAAACAAAAAAATTTGAAATTCATATCCCCTCAGTTATCATCGCTTATATATGGTCTTCACGTCAAACAAATAATTATTCGGATATGTTGAATAGTTTCTAAGTTATTGGACGGTGCATGACAAAAAGTATTTTTTTTAATTTCCGCATTTTTGCGAGTTTTTCGATTTTAGAAAACTCAGTACCACTAACTACCATTTCGTTAGTACAATAAGCTAACTAATGGTTTCAGTCAAGTTTTATCTCAAGTCGATTAATTTTTTTTCAAGAAGTAAGCGACTTTTACAAATGTTCCTTTAGCCTAAACGGTTTGACTAAGCTCATCCATAACACTCACAAAAACTTAATATTTGGAGAAGGCATAAGCACAATTGGGTAAATTTTTATCCCAAGTACTCTTAACGAAGAAATGTAGATATTTACAGTTTTTGGAAAACGAAATCGACAACCTAATACCCGAGGAAGTCGAAGCATAAGATCATCAACCTACCAGTAAGATCGTGCTAATCCTCAGCCTACTTTTATAAGACAATTTTTAAATAATATATATCCACCCATTCACATGCACATCGAATGGCTAGCATATCTCCAGATCTGCTGCATGAAAGAATAGTAAAAATGTACGAAAATGTCAGAACGTCTTTGAACAAATGACCTACAACTGCATGGAAGAAGATGGTGGCCACTTTGAATATTTGACTAAATTCTTTGATACTCACTTCTGCAAAAAAAATAAAATAAATTATTTTTAAAAATCATTTGCCGCACTGAACTTATTTGGATTAAGTATCTCAAAAAGCTAACCCACGACTTATTTATTTAAAATTACGGAGGTATAACTTCCCTCACCGTGAAAATAATACGATTTTTTTTTCATTTTCATTTGGCTTTGATCATATTGCAAATTGAGTATTTATTTCGGCCAATAGGTGACTTCAGCATATGAATCTAACACATGCACTGCGCAATAGTAAACAGCTCACATAATTCCCGTACATCATAATACAAAGTAGCAAAACTCTTCGAAACCTATATATATATTTTAAATTTCTAAAAGATACTTTGGTATTTGAGCTTTGGTAGTAAAGTGAACAACATTCCATGCATATGCAAAGAATATTGGAGTAACAGCAAGAACAATTTCAGGTTAAATGAACATGAAAGGCCACTCATCAGCAGTTGCCGAATACAATCATGAAACCGGACATCAAATCTTATTCGATAAAACTAAAATTCTTGCATGTAATCAATTCTTCTACCAGAGAAAAATCCATTCAAGAGTGTAAACAGTCCAGAAACAGAGTTGGTAAATGTTACGGCTTCGACTGGTTCGCTAAATTTTTTTCGTAACAAAAAGATTACTTTCTTCGGTGCTATGTGAACAGGATTTTTTTTTTCAGCGAGCGTTCGTTGCTGTTAATAAAAAAATATGTAACGTTTCATTACCTCCACGGAGGTGTTTAAACTTGGCAAACGGTAACTTTTCTCCAAGGAAATCGAAGCAAAATAACTCTTTCGGTAAGGTAAATATAATTTCCTCTAATGGCGTACATCGAAAACAAACAGTCAAATTCCAAACGTCATATTTATATATAAATACAAATGTACGATTTCTTCCCCCTGCTTTATTTTATTTAAATAAAGTGGAGATTCTTTCCTGACAGTTCGTTGATTTATTTAGGCGACCCAACAGATAATACCCAATTAGCGGGCAAGAAAGGAGACAGTAACCAAAAGCAAGCAATAATGTTTTTTTCAAAGAAATTTCCACAAGCTACTGTAATACTTTTTACAAAACTTCTGGATTACCCCTGAGTCGGTTTTTATAAAAAGCAAGCAAGAACGTATAAGATCAAGATTATATAACATTGCGAGTAATCAAAACCTTAGAGAACAAAGTACGATCTGTTATAAACACGTAAACAGAATGAACGACTACAAAAATGGCGAAGAGCAATACCAGTCGGGAGAAGATCCAAAGGAATAATGGCGAGTAGGTTAAAAGGCTTCACTAGGACAAACAGTTAATATTTCTTTACACCTGGCTAAGTTGTTCAAAAGTAGCACTTTATCTACAGCGATTAAAGCAAACAATACATTGAAGCAATTTCTTATAAAAGTTAATCATTCAATAGACTATTTTTCTAGATCAGGGGTATACTTTTTTGAACTACAATGTTCTGAAATAAAAAAGGCAACAAATGAAAATAAAATTTTAGTTACGATGAGGTTAATTTACCTTGACTTTTAAGGAAAATCCTTCAATCAAATTTAGAGTATTGACTTTTAAATTCAATATGGCTACTGAGTCTAACGAGTTGTCCAAAATATCTTCAAATATACGTTTAAACCCCCTCAGATCGTCTGCTCGATTTGGGAAAGTCGACGTAGACCACCCTTGGCGAAAAATGGCGAGTTTATAAATATACCCATTTCGAAGACATTACCTTAATTGATCTGTGTCATAAACGTCTCCCAATTTTTTAATGCCGTTGTTTTTGAATTATTAGCAACGTCAGCTCATAACTTAATTTAATCGGAGAGTATTTATACGGTTGACGGAACGGCAAGGACACTATGTACCTACTTTCGTAGTTCCACAGGTGGGAAAATGGGTTTCGCAAAATCTTCCGTCGACAAGACTGAGCACTTGGGTAGGTTTTCTATTTCCCAGAAATATCTTAGAGAATTTTTCAGTCCGTCGTTGGAAAACTTGGAGAAGAGCGAATACGTTTTCAATTGAAAAGTACCATCTATCTTTCCCATTAAAAGGCAACCAACAAACGTATTGGCAGCATCAACCTAGACGGTTCTAGCATGTATACGGTCCTTTAACAATAATGCCGAAAACGCGTCTGAGCCCAAAAGACCATCTATAGGACGCGGAGTATCGAACTGTGGATGGTATCTCATGCTGATACAATTTTTTCCACAGCGGACAAAGCGGCCAGGTTCATTTGATGTTTGAGTAAACAAAATCTGAGTACTATTATTTGTTTGTGTAGTACTTAACGAAGTATTCGAAATGTTATGCAAGCTATTGGAATGGTTTGAAGAAGTGAGCGGATTAAAATTTAAAAGCTTCTGATGACGTTGATAGCCCTCTTATCGTTCAAACCTTTCAAACAGAGATAATGATTTTTGCAGAAACTATAACGATCGTTGGGTGATTTATTTATTGAAGAATCACATTTACACAAAGCTTGATCACTCTTGCAAAAGAGACATTCGTTTCGATTTTCAGACTTAGATTTTTCAACGAAAAAAGCACTTGTTTGTTTAACCAGTGGTTGTGGCATGGTATTTACCATTTTGGTAGTATTCACGGAATAATTAATATTGGCATAGGTGTCACCACATTTTTGGAGAAACTAATGACATTTTCATAAAGCGATATATCAGTAGATTTATGTTCCAACTCAAATTTAATTAATGTGTCCCTTTCTAACTGGCCTAACAACAACAACCAGAACAAAGCCCCAATGGGTATCTACTAAGTTACGTAAAGACTGAGGATTATCTGAGGTTATTTTTTTCGTGTTACATATAGCATGGCAGTGCCCCTGAGCATGTAATCTTTTGTTGAAATACCAAGCAATTAGTGTATCGCAAGCAATTTGGGAATTAAACGCGGTTAAAGGCAAAGTTTTTACTAAAGAGAGAGGTTGGCTGTCTAAGCACCCTCTCCCACACGAACTTTTCGATACTTTGAACGGGAACAAGAAAAATGGTCGAATGTTTAAATGTAGCAGACAGTCGAATGTCAAACAGAAAAGGACAAATAGCTGTTTCGTGTGAATGACGTGATTTTTATACCGAAATAGGAAGGCTTTGCAATTTGACAGTCGATAATACGTAGGAATAATCCGAATCGAATTAGCAAAAGGTTACTTATTTTAAAGATACAGGACGTACATCGGGTGCTAAATCCGCACAGGACACATGAATTCCTATGCGCAATTATTGTTTCCAAAAAATATTGGTTAAGTGTACTGCAACACGCATTCAAAAGAATATTTTTTATTAACCCGTGAGTATATTTCTGAATATTTTATCGTCATTATCGCTCTCTATTTATTACAGCCACCGGCTAAGGTAAAAGTTGGCGTCTATGAATTCAAATTTATTGAAATTTTAAAAATGATAACTTCATCATTTAAACAAGCACCTTACTAAATTATTTTTTACTTTTTATCCGTCTGGAATCTAAAACTTACTTAGTTACCCCTCTCTATAGAATTTTTCAAAGAAACATCCACGGCATACTGTAATACTATATACAAATCTTCTGGTTCGTCCTGTATCGCTTGTTTAGAAATAAAAGTGACTGACGTTTGGCCAATCATCCTGTTCACTTCTTCAGAGCTTATCTGAAACTGATGATTGGTTAAACTTCGGCAAGTTTGATTTATAAACAACCGACGCCAGAAGAATCCAAAAGATTTGTAAATAGCATTCTGTATAGAATAGATTAAAGGCAAAATTTCAAGTTTTTGGGGTGTATCACTCAATTAAAATTTCTTGGGATAACACACATTTATGGCCCACTACCCCTAA